AGAATGAAAATAGCTATTACTTTACGATATTTTCTGGTGACATTTTTATGTACATATCACTGATATTTTTCTCATTTCTTAAACATGAGAAAGTGTGGGTTGGAGGTTGTTAAAAGACTTGCTCACGATTACAGACCCACCAAGGGATCCAATCAGGATTTGAACTGAGGTGCCATTCCCACTGTGCAGCTGTGCAAGGCTGACTATGCCAGCCCTGTCTGTTCCCAGCTAGGCTTTCTGATGTGTTTGTGTTCAGCTGTTATGTTAGCGAGGGCTAGGTGAGGAAGAATGGACTCGCTCATATGACTGGGGTCCAGCTTGCTGTGAGAAAGGAGGTCCAAAAGAGAATGTAACCAGATGTAATGTTTCAGCACTCTAACTGAGGCTTATTTACATGGTGGTGTCAGAATGTCAAAAGTGAGAATCGAAGCAGGTAATGTTTCTTGTATGTGTGTTAGTTGCTCAGTCATGTCTGACTCTTTGTGACCCCATGGACTGTAGCCTGCCAGGCTCCTCTGTCCATGGAGCTCTTCAGACAGGAATGATGGAGTGGGTAGCCTTCCCTTCTTCAGGAGGTCTTCCTGACCCGGGGACTGAACTCGGGTCTCCTGCATAGCAGGAGAATGCTTTACTGTCTAAGCCACCAGGCGAGCCCAGTGTTTCTTGAGATCCATGCTTAATATCGACATGGTGCTGCCAATGTGGCAAACTATTTGTCAATACAGACCACAAGATCATTCTAGATCAAAGGGTAGAATAAGAGAATCTACTCTTGATCTCATGAAATCAGTTTTTTAAAAAAGTCATTTAAAAACTATTAATCACATAGAGCATTGGTTTGTTTACCTCTCTATCTTAGAGACTGACTCCAGGTCTCCTGCATTGAAGGTGAGTTCTTTACCATCTGAACCACCAGGGAAGCCCATTAGAGAGTTAGTTTGGTGGGCTACAGTCCATAGCATCGCAAAGAGTCAGACTGAAGTGACTTAGCACACTGCACACACATACAATGTATAATATGATTCATCTGTGACCTCAGAATGATGACTACATGATTTGGTCTTTTAATAGATTGTTCTACAAGTTCCACCAAATTTACTTATTCACTCTCTCCAAGATTTTGTAGCTTCTTCTGTAAAAACACAGAAGGGGTGCTTCCACTGTTAACTAATAATTTGAAAGGATCTTGTCTTTAAGACTTTCCTAGTCTTTGGAGGTTAAATTTCTATGTAAATACACATTCCTAGTTAGAAGAAGAATTGAAACTGAGAGTCTTTGAGTTTGTTTGTTATCATAAGTTCCCTGTTTATACAAGCCGTAGTAATTTCCCCAAGACTTCTGAGTGCCTCTTTCCTACCTTTATCGGAGGGTAGCCTCAGCAGGGAAACCAAGGATTTCAGAGAAATTTCTGTTTAGAGGGAACTTTTCCTCTCTTCCAGTCCATTCTCTGATTTGCAGTCAAAATGAACCTTGAAAATATAAATCTGACCATGTTACTTCCTCATGATGGCAGTGTCCCCATTTATGTTGGTTTCAAGAGCCCAATTCCCAATATGGCTTCCAGTAAGCTTAGTGAATGGATAACTCTTAAAACTCATTCCTGATTCTTCTCTCCACCCTTTCTTAAGTTAATCATTCTTAGTTTCTTAGCTCACCAGACTCTCATGTTAAGAATCCGATATATGTTTTTTCTTGTCATGGAAATCCTCTACTCTCTCACATTACCCTTGACAAGGGGCCAGAATCGGATTCATTTTACAGGGTCATATAAACATCTCTTCTTCTGGGAAAACTGTCAGCGTAAGCCAGAACTTTTTCTTTTTTCTTTCAGTTTTACTCCTCTTTAAAGGGAAGTCTTAGAAGAGTAGTAATTGGTCTGTGCAGATATTTTAGTTTTGTTCCCCAAATTACATTCTATTAAAAATTAATATTATGTTTATGGTGGTATATGCAGTATATTATTCAATTGTAAAAATAATAAAATAATAGTATTTGCAGCCACATGGATGGATCTAAGCGCTTCCCAGGTGGTGCTAGTAGAGAACCCTCCTGCCAATGCAGGAGATGTAAGAGACTTGGGTTTGAACACTGGATAGGGAAGATCCCCTGAAGGAGGAAATGGCAACTCACTCCAGTATTCTTGCTGGAAAATCCTGTGGACAGAGAAGGAGTCTGGTGGGCTACAGTTCATAGGGTCACAAAGAACTGGGTGGGACTGAGCATGCATGCACACCATACTACACATAAAATCTATAAGCAATAAGAACAAGCTGTATACAGGAAACCCTAGTCGATACTCTACAACGGTCTATGGGAAAGCAATCCAAGAAAAAGTGGAGATATATATTTATTTATTTGTTTATTTATATTTATATATTTATATGTATGTATTCAATATATATATATTGAATTTTCTTTACTGTACATCTGAAACTAACACAACATTGTAAATGACCTGTACTTTGATAAAAACTTTTTTTTAATTTAGCTTAATAAGTCTCAGATATTTTTTATTGTTTAGTCAAGTGAGAATGTAGCAGAGAAAATTTATAGTAACTATTGAGATGGTGTCTATAGCCTTCTTATTCATTTATTTTTTGCAAAGTGTTACTTTTTCTTCTTTTAATATTTATGTTTAATAATTTTTTAGCTGCATCAAGTCTTAGTTTCATTGTGAGACATCTTTGATGTTCACTGTAGCATGCAGGCTCTATTAGTTGCAGCAGGCCAACTCTTAGTTTCGGCACGTGGGATCTAGTTGCCTGAACAGGGATTGAACCTGGGCCTCTTGCATTGAGAGAGTGGAGTCTTAGCCACTGTACCTAAAAGGAAGAACCTATAATGACCCCTTTTATACATTATCAATATAAAGAAAGCTGAGCACTGAAGAACTGATTCTTTTGAACTGTGTGTTGGAGAAGACTCTTGAGAGTCCCTTGGACTGCAAGCAAATCCAACCAGTCCATCCTAGATGAAATCAGTCCTGAATATTCATTGGAAGGATTGATGCTGAAGCTGAAACTCCAGTACTTTGATCACCTGATGTTGAAGAACTAACTCATTTCAAAAGACCATGATGCTGGGAGATTGAAGGCAGGAGGAGAAGGGGACGACAGAGGATGAGATGGTTGGATGGCATCACTGACTCTGTGGGCATGAGTTTCAGTAAACTCCAGGAGTTGATGATGGACAGGGAGGCCTGGCATGCTGCAGTCCATGGGGTAGCAAAGAGTCATATACGACTCAGTCACTGAACTGAATATAATAACCAAAAACTCCACCCAAGATAATTCTATTAAGTTTGAGCATATTTAGAAAGTTTTATTGTACAATTAAATGACAATGGTACTATAACTGTGAAGCTCCCAGGATGTATGGGAATCATTCATGTAATTAATACACTTTGGTTGAAGTTCTAATAGATGAAGACAAGTAGTAAGGGGGAGGATTATAAAAATTTAAGTTAAAACAAATTTACAGAACCTAGGATATATGACTAAAGCATCTGTGTTTTGGGTATTAATAAGAAGAAATCCATTTTATGCTGAAAAGAAATGGAATGGCCTTCAGGACTCCAGAGTTGCTTTTACCATCATGTCATCAGTCAAGTCACACCCTCTCTGAACCCTCAGCTACATTAGAAAGGTTAGGATAACAAGTCATTGAAAGATTAAGATACTTTACTAAATAACAAGTGGAACCAATATATCTTGAGGTAGAAAAATTGGATTTGCATCATAGGTATAGAATTGTCTCTGGTTTGCCTCAGAGATTAATATTTTAACATTAAAGTAAATCACAGTTCTCTTAGTTTTAGCTTTATCTCACTGTCTCTATGGGGGCTTCAGATAGAGCTAGTGGTTAAGAATCTGCCTGTCAATGCAGGAGATGTAAGAGATGCAAGTTCAATCTCTGAGAGCTCTGGAAGTTCAAGATATAAACATAGAAGGATTCATAATTTTTCAATGGAGCTTTGACACCACAAAGTTGGTTCTTTGTAATATTCGACACTACTGAATCCAAATATGCTTCAACTATGTATATAAATCTCACATCAACTAGAGAAAAGTGCAGAATAAAAACTCGCTTTGAAGGTAAAGAAATTCAAGTTGTCAGAGAATTATAAGATTGCCTTAGCCGGAAGAAGAAGAGAAAATTATATTTACTTATAAGAGAGGTCAACGGCTTAACACTTGAGAACATGAGGTCTTGGTACAGAAAATTCTAGTTTCAAATACTATCTCTGCTGTTGATCAGTTCTAGGTCCTTGGAAACATTTCTTAAACTACATGAGGTTTATAATAATATCTTAAAAACTGTGGAAAGTACTAAGTGGGTTAAGTATAGGATTTAGGGCACTGTCCAAACACAAACTGAAATTGTGTGTTTGTGTGTGTGTGTGTGTGTGTGTGTGTGTGTGTGTTTCTATGTGTACTGATAGTGACAGGAGCAGTACAGTGTATTGATATTTGTTGAACTATCAGCACCATGCTAGACACATAGATTCTCAATAATACATGCAGAATATTCAAAAATTTTGACCACTCTTCACCAGGCATTTGGCTGACATTTTCCTGTATATCTGCTTAACTCAGTCAGACAACTTTTCAGTGTTATTTTGTTCATTCATTTGATAAGGCTCAGATTCTCACTCATTAAGCAAATAGCAAGTGAAAGCCTTAATTCTAAAATCAGTTACTTTCTCCAATTCTAGTTGTCTTCCCAAGTGACAGACTGAAGATACAGTATTTTACTGACATTGTAAGGGATTAATATGCCTCCTAGCAGTTGTTGAGTTAATTGATACCTCTATTTCTTTATTCTTAAAGAAAATTCAGCAATTTTTTCTCCTTATCTTATCAAGCTTTCTCCTAGTGGACATGGAAATTGGAAATCGCACCATCCTGACTGAATTCATCTTACTGGGTCTCTCAACAGACCCCAGTGGCAACTAATACTATTTGGAGTATTTCTGATTGTCTATTTGGTTACCTTGTCAGGGAACATGACCCTGGTTATCTTAATTCGTATTGATTCCCATCTGCACACACCTATGTATTTTTTCATCGGCAGTCTCTCTTTCTTGGATTTCTGGTACACCTCTGTGTACACTCCCAGAATCCTGGCTACTTGTATCTCAGAAGATAAGCACTTTTCCTTAGCTGAATGTGGCACCCAGCTATTCTTTTCTTGTGTCGTAGCCTACACTGAGTGCTTTCTCCTAGCAGTCATGGCATATGACCGCCACATGGCAATCTGTAACCCGCTACTCTATTCAAGTTATATGTCTCATTCTGTCTGTACCAGACTTGTTGTTGGCTCCTATATAGGAGGGTTCTTGAATGCCATAGCCCATACCACCAACACTTTTCGCCTGAGTTTCTGTGGCAAAAATATCATTGACCACTTCTTCTGTGATGCACCACCACTAGTGAAGATGTCATGTACAGACACCAAGGTCTATGAGGAGGTCGTCTTGGGTCTCGTGGGTTTCACGGTCCTCTCAAGCATTCTTGTCATCATAATTTCCTATTTCAACATCCTTCTGGCTATTCTGAGGATCCGCACAGCTTCAGGAAGGCGCAAGGCCTTCTCCACCTGTGCTTCACACCTCATCTCAGTCATGCTCTTCTATGGATCTTTGCTCTTCATGTACTCAAGGCCAAGTTCCACGTACTCCCTGAAGAGAGACAAAATGGCTGCCCTGTTCTACACTGTGATCAACCCACTGCTCAACCCTCTTATCTATAGCCTGAGAAACAAAGATGTCAAAGAGGCCTTCTGGAAAGCAACAAAGACCATAAGACCTCAGAGATGAAGGTGGTCTTTTTTTTTGCAGAATGTTCTCATTGTGTTTTCTAGGTTATTGGCTTATTAACGTGTTTTAAACATTACCATATTTCAAGTAAATGCAGCATGTTATACTTAAAAGAAGAAACACTGATTAAACCATTTTGTTTTTTATTACTCCTTTTTTATGATTAAACTATTTTAAACCTGGAGAAGGACATGGCAACCCACTCCAGTACTCTTGCCTGGAAAATCCCATGGATGGAGGAGGATGGTAGGCTACAGTCCATGGGATTGCAAAGAGTCAGACACGACTGAGCAACTTCACTATTTTAAATCTATGATATTAGTTTATTTGATGCTTTAAGATACTGTAGTATGCTTCATTTTGTAGTTGTGGTTTAGATGATTAGTCATGCTGGATTCTTGCAACTCCGTGAACTGTAGCCCGCCAGGATCCTCTGTCCTTGGGTTTCTCCAGACAAGAATGTTATAGTGGTTTGTCATTTCTTTCTGCAGGGGATCTTCTTGACCCAAGCATCAGACCCACATCCCCTAAACTACAGGTGGCTTCTTTACTACTGAGTCACTATGGGAAACTTATTATGCTTCTTAGTTATACTAAATTTTCCATAACATTTATCTGCCTGATTATCTATGGAAAGTCTTAGAGACAAAAAGGAATTTGATGGGTTTTTTTGTATAAAGTTTGATTTTGAATCTCAGTACACGAACTTTATTCTGTGGGGAAAATATTTGGAGTGGCTAAATTTTTGGAAATTGACTCAAGACTTTATACACGTTTATTGTTAGCAAGTAATTCCACAATATTTATTCAAGAGCTCTAAACGAGTACATAGAAAATATTATTGTAAATTTATGTCTTTGTAAAATCGATGTGTTCTACATTAATTTAATATAGGGTCAAATATTTGGCAAAATATTAAATTGATGTAGATGAAATGCTAGGTCCATGAATCAAGGCAAATTGTAAGTGGTCAAATAGGAGATGGTAAGCGTGAACATCGACATTTTAGGAATCAGTGAACTAAGATGGACTGGAATGGGGGAATTTAACTCAGATGACCATTATATCTACTACCAGGCAAGAATCCCTTAGAAGAAATGGAGTAGCCATCATAGTCAACAAAGCCTGAAATGCAGTACTTGGATTCAATCTCAAAAATGACAGAATGATCTCTGTTTGTTTCCAAGGCAAACCATTCAATATTAAAGTAATCCAGGTTGACACCCTGACTAGTAATGCTCAAGAAGCTGAAGTGGAATGGTTCTATGAAGACCTAGTAGATATTCTTGAACTAACACCCCCAAAAAATGTCCTTTGCATTATAGGGGACTGGAATGCAAAAGTAGGAAGTCAAGAAATACCTAGAGTAGCGAGCAAATTTGGCCTTGGAATACAGATTGCAGCAGAGGAAAGGCTAATCAATTTTTGCCAAGAGAACGCACTGGTCGTAAAAAACACCCTCTTCCAACAACACAAGAAAAGACTCTACACATGGACATCACCAGATGGCCAGCATTGAAATCAGATTGATTATATTCTTTGCAGCCAAAGAGGGAGAAGCTCTATACAGTTAAAAAACAAGACCAGCTGCTGACTGCAAATCAGATCATGAACTCCTTATTGTGAAATTCAGACTTAAATTGAAAAAAGTAGGGAAAACTAGACCATTCAGGTCTGACCTAAATCAAACTCCTTACGATTATACAGTCGAAGTGCAAAATAGATTCAAGGGATTAGATCTGATAGACAGAGTGCCTGAAGGACTATGGATGGAGGTTCGTGATACTGTGCAGGAGGCAGTGATCAAGACCATCCACAAGAAAAAGAAATGCAAAAAAGCAAAATAGTTGTCTGATGAGGCCTCACAAATAGCTGAGAAAAGAAGAGAAGCTAAAGGCAAAGGAGAAAAAGGAAAGATATGCCCATTTGAATGCAGAGTTCCAAAGAATAGCAAGGAGAGATAAGTAAGCCTTCCTCAGTGATCAATGCAGAGAAATAGAAGAAAACAATAGAATGGGAAGGACTAGAATGCCTGTCTCAGAATCATTTAAATCAGTTTCTGCACCCACCAGGATTGTAGATTCCTGCAAACCCTTAGGATTTGATGGCAATTAAATAAAACTGTGTTTTGAGAAATTGGAAATTAGTAAGATGGAAAAGGGGATGGCAGAGGATGAGATGGTTGGATGACATCACCAACTCGAAGAGTTTCACATCTAGTCTTAGCAAGCTCCAGGAGTTGCTGATGGATACAGAAGCCTGGTGTGCTGCAGTCCATGGGGTCACAAAGAATTGGACATGACTGAGTGCCTGAACTGAAGATGGAGAATTTTTTTTTTGAGACTAAGTTTTCCTAGTGAGAATTTTCATTCTCATTTTTCTTTGGCTATGTAGAAGCCAAATTAAACTTATGTGTATACATATGCATACCATATATACATATGTTCAGAACATTATATATATATATACACATATGTTATTAAAATCATGTGCATATTAAAATCACTTGTTCACTAATATTATTTTTAAACATTTTAATTTATTTATGTTTAATTGAGGGAGAGTTTCTTTCCAGTATTTTGTTTGTTTCTGCCATACATCAACATGAATCAGCCATAGGTGTATATATGTGTCTCTCTCTCCTGAACTCCCCTTCCACTTCCCACCCCATCCCACATCTCTAGGTTTGTCACAGAGCCCCAGTTTGAGCTCCCTGAGTCATATAGCAAATTCCCACTGGCTATCTGTTTTACTTATGGTAATGTACATGTTCCCCTGCTACTCTTGGCATTTGTTCCATGGTCTCCTTCCATGCCTTCTATCCACAGGTCTGTTCTCCAAGTCTTTGTCTCCATTGCTGCTTTTGTTACATGTTGAATACCTTTCCTTTGTTCTTCCAAATCCATGCTCCATCCTTTTAATCTCATCTCTGCTCCAGGATGCTCAGTTATATTAACTGCATCAGTGGGCTCATTTGTTCTCTGCATGCTTAGTGTGTTTAGCCGGTGATTGTGACTAGAAGGGAAGAGAGTAGGGTCAGAGTGTTTTTTTCCAGCCTCCTTTCTTGCAAAAATGTCATAGCTGGCTTCATCCCTGGACCTAAATCATAGATCCTGCTGGATGACCCATTTCAAAGTTTCCCCTCCAGTGCTCATAACCTCTTTCTTTTCTTATATTCATTCCTCCAGGAACAGAGGAGAAAACAGCTCTCAGAAGTTATTCAGTTCAGAAGTTATTAGGTCTAGATTTATCACACTAGTCTGGAAATTCTGCAAGCCTTAGAAATCCCTTTGTATTAATACCTTTATTAAACCCTCACCAAATTAATCAGTTTGTGTGGCCTTCTGCTACCTTCCAGGTTCATAACTGATATTGGTGTTAGAGAAATCTCAGGAGATAAACATTTAAAATATAACTGAATTGTTCACATATTTGAAGATTAGACATATAAACTCATCCTGGTGGAAAATGGCACAGTAGTAACATTTAGCATCTTGGAGTGGTTTACTGTGCCCTTCTCCGGGGGATCTTCCTGAACCAGGGATTGAACCCATGTCTCTTATATCTCCTGCATTGGCAGGTGGGTTCTTTACCACTAGCACCACCTGGGAAGCCCCTCCAGTAGCATCAGACTTACTTAATGATCACCAGTGGCATCATGGAATTAAAGCTAGGTGGAAACAAAGCACTGAGGGATTGCTTCCTGTAGCAGAGAAACATGCAGATGGAGATTTTAAACATCGTGGGGGAAGTTAGCTTCTGCTGCAGTTTAAACCTGAGAGTATCCAGTTGATAAAACAAACAGGCAGCAGCAAGCTTAAACTATATCTTTGAAGAAGTCTCTCACTTCCTCTGGTCCTTAGGAAACTATATTTGAGGACAGATTCTATGACCATATTATAGCAGTACAGAGTTACCTCCCCAAATAAACTTGTTTTGTATTTAAGGAAAGATAAGAATATTACCAGAAGGGAGTGAGGTTCTGAGGCATAGGGTAGGGGCATTTGGGCAGAGAAGTAAAAATCTGAGAATTTTTCATCTCTAATCCTTAAGTCTCATTTCTAAAACCAATAATTTCTCCCTTAATCGAGGGAATAAGAACTTTCACAGCATTGCCTCATTATTGGCTGCACCTGGGAGGGTTGAACACATGTAGAAACAAGCCTCCCTTACACTCAACCCCATCATCCTCCCTTTCCTCTGTGTTTGGTGTGAAACTTCAAAACCCCCATAGCCCAGACAGTGAAATGCCAAATCTGACCTGCTAAGAATTTCAGGACATCACCAATCAAGGTTGGCAAGAGTCTGGAGAATATCTATAGGAATGGATTCTGAAAGCATGAGACCAAGGACAACAAAACTTTAAGTTTAGTATGGCTAACTGTATTGACACAGGAACACTAAACAACGATTTGGGATTTGAAATCAGAATGTTAGACCAACCTCGCATGATATTGAAGATGGACAACAGAAATATTGCAAATAACCTATTGGGTGTGATCTACTCCACTGCTGCCTAAACATTCACCCTCCTCACCTCTCACCTGGCTTCTCAAAGGGCTTCAAGAACATACACTTTCCCAAGGTATTCATTGGAAGGTCTGATGCTGAAGCTGAAACACCAATACTTGGGTCACCTGATGTGAACAACTGACTCATTGGAAAAGACCCTGATGCTGGGAAAGATTGAGGGCAGGAAGAGAAGGGGACGACAGAGGATGAGATGGTTGGATGGCATCACTGACTCAATGGACGTGAGGTTGAGTAAATTCTGGGAGTTGGCAATGGACAGGAAGGCCTGGTGTGCTGCAGCCCATGGGGTCACAAAAGCTCAGACATGACTGAGCAACTGAACTGAACTGGACTAAAGAAACACACTGTTTAGGGAGCCATTAGCACCCTTGTAAAGCTCAACAGGAGCCACCATCAGTATGCTATGGGTGATGGCAAGAGAAGCTGCTATGGGATTGGACTCCAAAACATTAGAAACCAGGTTGCAG